TTCATCCCAAATCTGAAACTTTGTCTATACTTCCATTAGCAAGGGTAGTAAAGAAATTGTTTTGAAATAACACTCTATCTTAAAACCAATTTAAATCTCAAATATAATTGACTTACGCTGACTGTCCATTGAAGCAGGCTAATTTTCTCAGGATGTGTCTCTTGGTGTTCTGATTCAGTTGTGTTAGTTTGCTATAACAAAACCTTAAAGCCAAAACCCCAAAGTTGGGAGGTTCAAACAACAGAAATTTATTTTCTCACAGTTCTGGGAATTAGAATTCCAAGATCAATGTGTTTGGCAGGTTTGGGTTCTCCTTGGGTCTCGCTCTTTGGTGTAAGAAAAGATACTCACATGAAAAGCACATTGTTTCCTATTAGATATTTTATAAGGTTATTTAAATACCTTTAAAAAATTATTTTGTTAACGAGAGAGAGAGAGAGAGATATCAACTGGTTGCTTCCTGTACAAGAGCTGACTGGGGATCAATCCCTCAACCTAGGTATATGCCTGTCTTGGGGTTGAACCTGCAACCTATGGACGATGCTCCAACCAACTGAGCCACCTGGCCTGGGCTAAATACCTTGCAAAGAAAAGCACATTAAGATATCACTTGACTTTTAAAAAATAAAGAAAATGTTCCATAGAGATAAATATCCCAAATTCCCACTTCCTACCCCAAAAAAATTCCGGCTCTAGAAATTGATGTTGTCCTCAGTAATAGACAGACTGAATATACATGAGGGCCTCATCTGCCTACTGGATGGAGAATAGTTTTTGGGTCTTGAATTATTTGCATGCTTGCACATACCAACACAGAATGTGGATTTAAATCACGAGTGATTCTTGAAAAATTAAAGTAAAATAATTGCCAAGTATATGAAGCCAAGCTTAAGTTGTATTATTTACCATTTGCTGGAGACTGGACAGGGGCTTCAGGAAGTTGTTCCATCACTCTCTGTGTCATCTGTGTTCCACTTGTCTTCCATCCTTGCCTGTATCTGTCTTAATTCTCCTCTTGTTTTTAGGACACAGGCCGTGGGAAGTGGCAGCATGGTGTCCCGTGCGGGAAGCATCGTGGCCCCGTTCTCCGTTAACCTCTCCAGCATTTGGATCTTTATACCCCAGGTGTTTAGTCACTTTATAGAAACTTGGTGAGATGGCGGAGCAGCTTCTGTGGGTGGGGGGGGAGGGCCAGGCTGCTGAGGGCCAGGTGGAAGGAGAGCTGAGAGAGGAGGCAGTGACCATTGTGGAGAGGATGGGCCTCTTTTGTTTGTTTTAAAAGATACCATTTATCCACTGCTTACCATGGGCCAGGCACTCTTTTAAGTGCCTTGTAGGCGTCATTTAATTTAATCCTTTCAACAGTCTTTTGGGACCGGCACTATTAGTATTTCCATTTTACAGATAAGGAAACCTAGGAGTAAAAAAGTCAGGTAACTTGCCCAGGGCCACACTGGTAGCAAGTTACCGGGCAGAGTGGGTTTGGAGACGATAAGAGGCTTGAGGACTTTTATTTTTACTAGCCGGTGGCAAGGAAAAGGTCATAAATCTGTGAGAGGGAGGGAGGTCTGCAGATGGAGGAAAACCTGGAGAAGGAGGTGAGAGGCAGTGGGACCTGGAGAGGATGAAAGGCTCTGCCCTGTGCAGGGAGAAAGGGGAGGGGAGGGGCGTTGTTGGGATGTTTGTAGGAGGGAAGGAGCTGGCCAGGATGGCAGGGAAATTTTTCTAGGAGGTCAGATGGACCACCCCACTCTCTAAAGTAGCAGTTCATTTCCCTTGCCCTTGTTTGGTTTCTCCTCAAACTCTGTAGATTTTGTCTCATTGAAATATTTATTTGTGCACGCATTCATTCATCCCCCATCATTTATTGAATGCCGATAGAGTAATGATCATCAGGGCAAGGACAGGGTTGATTAAGACAGTGCCTGACCATGAAGTCCCAACCCAAGGCTCAGTAGCTGGGTTTCTCCACAAGACTCTGGAGCCTGGGGAAAGGGGACAGGGCCTTTCTTCTCTGTGGAGCAGCTCCTAGGACAGCGCCTGCGGGAGTAGTAATGCAGGCAGCACCTGGGACTGATGGAGTAGGGGCGCCACAGTGGTTCAGGAATGAATTCATGAGTGATCAGATTAAGCCTGGACGATGAGTTCAAGAACTCCCAGTCCAGCCTCAGTCACCAAAGGTCTCGCTGCTAAAAAAATGTCAGCTGGTATGTCAAATTCAGTTCTGTTTCCCTCTGAAAAAGGTTCAGAATTATTATTCGCTGAAGGGTACATTTATTTCTTGATGTGTCATTTATTTTTTCTTTCTTTTTTTAAAATTCCTGCTAGTTGCTGATTGGGTGTTTGGCCTTTGTGAGTGGAATTCTAACATTCCAACTTCCAGAAACCCTCCGGAAGCCTCTGATAAGTACTTGGGAGGAGGCTACCACACCGGATGCAGAAAAAGAGAGTAGTTCAGGCAAATTGTCTCCCACAACCAGTAACACTGATGCTGGACAAACCAGAAGTGATTAATTCAGGGGGTTCTGGTTTGGCAAATGACTGTGCTATGTGTGCTGTCTAGCACCTGAAAAAGTGTTTACTTTACTGCCTTTGTATTAGAGGAATACTATTCTCATTTCCTGCATGTCATTTTTGTCTTTTAAAAAATTTTTGTAAGAAAGTTTTAAAACAATGATTTTGTAAAAGAAATAAAAACTAAGATGAGGATGCTCACTTTTTAGGCTGCTTTCTTGTTGCCGTCACATATTTTTCCATGTTTGTTCTTCTGTGTCGTCGTTTCTCAGCCTTTCCCACTCACCACCTGCGGGAATATCACATACTCCAGTCCCATCCCGCTCCCTTCCTTCTCCCAGCCACTGTCAACTGTGAGAGCGTGTTTCTTTCTTCTTTCTCTTCCATATTATTTTTATTTACTTATTTTTCAATTGCAGTTGACTTTTGACATTATTTTACATTAGTTTCAGGTGTATAGCACTGTGGCTAAACATTTATATAATTTATGAAATATTCCCCCTGATTTTTCTAATATCCACCTGACACCATATCAAGCTATTACAATATTATTGACGATATTCCCTATGCTGTACTTTACATCCCCATGACTATATTGTAACTATCAATTTGTACATCTTAATCCCTTCACTTTTTTCATCCAGACCCCCATCCCTCCTCCAATCTGGCAACCTTGTTTGTTCTCTATACCTGTGAGTCTTTTTTTTAAAATTAATCCTCACCAGAGAATATTTTCCCATTGGTTTTTAGAGAGAATGGAAGAGACAGGGATAGACAGAAATATCGATGTGAGAGAACCACATTGATTGGTTGCCTCCTGAAAGCGTCCTGACCAGGGCCTGGGCCACGGAGAAGTCTGCAACCGAGGTGTGTGCTCTTGACCTGAATCGAACACGGAACCTTTGGTCCACAGTCCGATGCTCTATCCACTGAGCCGAACTGGCTAGGGCTGTGAGTCTTTTCTGTTTTATTTGTTTATTTTGTTCTTTAAATTCCATTAAAACGATAGCTATAAAAGAAAAGATATCTTGCTTTCCAGCACTCTGAGCAAAGAGGGCTTCAATGTGTAGTCAAATGTTTTTGTGTTTGGTCCAGTTAAGGGACACACATTTGCTAGGAGCCAGGAGGGAGTATTGTAGCCGAATATTTTACTTTCCCAAATGTAAAGACTTTTCTCCGTAAGTCTCAGAGACATGAGTGCCCTCCTCCCCTCCTTCCCTGGACCATCCTGGAACCACACACAGCAAAATCCTGGTCCTGGGAGACTTTGCTTCCTCAGCAGCCTTCTGAAGAGTTCAAGTCCCATTGGATTGCGGCCCTTTATTTACTGGCAGACTAACACACCAGCAGGGCCGACACATCCCAAGCCCCTGACGGCCATGCAGAACAGCAGGCGGGGCTGGATGTGCAGGGAGTTCCCTGTCCACTGCACAGGTTCTGGGCACCTCCAGAGCTCAAGGTAAACGTGTCTGAAAGATTGCTGGGGGGGAGTGTGATGCTGTGCTCGCCTACCGTCTCCCGGAGATCACTTCAACTCTTTGGACCTCAGCCACACGCCTATAACATGACAACTCTTTGGGCCACACGCCTATAACATGACAACTCTTTGGACCTCACGCCTATAACATGACAACTCTTTGGGCCACACGCCTATAACATGACAACATAAGGTCCCACTGGATGGTCCTTGAGTCCCCTTTTAACTCTCGCCTTCAGTGCGCCCGAATCTGCTGTTGGTTTTCTGAATGACCCCTCATTTAAGTCATATTGCGATAGTTCTGTGCAGCAGCAAATGAACGACCTATTAGATGTACATGTGCACAGCTTTCTTCCTTGGTTTCATTACTGAATGTTTTCTTCTTGTCTTCCTTTCAGAGGTAAGTAGAGTCCAGACCTGGGCCGGGAGAAGAAGGAGCCCTCTCAGATACGCCGTTCCCATTACTTTTTGGATACAGTCCTCCATCCTAGCCAGACGTATGGCACTTTCTCACTCCACTCACACAAACCTCCCCATGGAGCCACCCGCGGTTTCCTCAGCTCTCTCTCAACTTCCTGCCTCTGCGACTTTGCTCCTACCATCCTCCCTCCCAACATTGCCCCTCTTCTCCTTTGTCCCTCCTGGACTGGCCACTTGGGTCCACCACGTTCCCTCTCTCCTGAGCAATCACAGCGCTCACTTGATAGGGGACTGTCTTATTCTGCCTCATTTCCTCTCTTGAGGGAAAAAACATCATTTTAGGGACCCTTGAGTCTCTCATAGTCCTTGCAACATGCCTTGGACAGAGTGCTCTGCAAATGTTCGTTGGTTGGTTTTATAGTAGGTGCTCAATGAAATATATATACCACCTTACAAGGAATTTTACATACCTCAACTCAGCAGGTGCTCACAACAACTTGCAAGAGAAATCTTAGTTCATCTCATAAGTGAGATGACTTGCTCAGGGTAAAATGGATCGTCTGTGGCCCCTCCGTATGTGCTTTGGTGAAGACCTTGAGCCTGGGAATCTGACATTCAGACTGGGCTTTCCCATTTAAGAGACCTTGGGCCCTTCCTTATTCTCTTGGAGCCTCGATTTGCTCATCTGTGGATTGGGGATAATAACAGTACCTATCTCATAGGGTGTTTGTGTTAATGGTGCCATGCGTGTGTCTAGCAGATGGTTAAAGCTAAATATGCATTAGTTACAACATTATTATCATTACTTTGATACATCAAACTGCTTTCCTGTAAACAGACTTGTTGACTATAATTTTATAGTCTGCCACACAGTGGACACTCAGCAAATATTTGAATATGTAGACTAAAGGATCATTTAGTTTTTAGCCTAGATTTTTTTCCTAAATAATTTTTCCAACTGCAATCAGGGCATCATCTCAGGGATCAACAACATTCTTCTGTCCTTACAGCCCACCCCTCCCATTCCACACTGCCCTCCCCGCCTTCCCCCTCAGGCCCAGCGGATGCAGCAGAGCCAGGAACCCGGGGAGATGGCAGCCACATGAGGAAGCCAGGCTTTGCTTCTGGCCGGAACTGGCTGGGAGCTGGACAGCTTTGGCCGTTACTTACCACGCCCACGAATCAGCTGCCAAAACCCCAGGCTGGTGGTGAGGTGGTTTGTAAATGAGAAAAAGAAGAGCTGCTAAGTAGGCCCACTTCCAGGGCTGGCGGAGCCCCAGCTTCACAGTTTACAAGAGGAGGTCCATGGCTCCTTTCTCCAGGGAAGCAAGTGACAGAGACACAGGCGTGTGGGCCAATGGAGAGTCAGGTTAGAGGCAACGTCCTCAGGCATGTCCCCAATGGGAAGCAGTTTTGCTTTCCCTTCGTCTCTCAGGCACTGGACCAACCACTCACTGGGAAAACAAGTGCTGGTGCCAGAGCCTCCTGTGGATTCCAGGCCGCCTTTGCAGAGACAGGTACTGGGATCCTCCTGCTCACGGCTCTGGGCTCACGCTGTACACACTCAGGGAGTGTGGGTATATGTCTTAAAGGGATCAGGTGACCTGACTCACAGGTCACGGGGCCAGGCTGTACCCACCTTGCTGGCTCACATTTCTGCTCCCTGGCAGCTGGTTATTCTTAGCCACGGATTACTTTCCTTCTCAATTTATTAGAACAGTTTTGGGAAAGTTGCTGGGCAGGGAGGACGTAGTGAAGCAGGAAAGGCAGTAAGGGATAGGTGGCTGCCTTCTACCTCTGGGGCACCGTGCAGGGCCACACTCCACAAGCTTGCCCCCTCTGCTTGGCTGCCCCTTGCCCGGACCCTCCCCTGCTCCGCCCTCTGCCCTGGCAATCCTGCTCTTTCTTAGTTAGCCAGCCCGTTGTGGAGCAATCCGATGAACTAATGGCCGAGGAAATGCATATGTAGCTTAAGAAATAGAAATAACACACGGAGAACTTCCCTGGAGGACTTGACAGTATCAGACAGCGTCCGAGGCGGAACAGCCCACTGACAGCTGAGCCCCACCCAGTTTGTCCTGCTCGCAGCAGAGGGAACTGCCCCGCCTCCTCCTGAGGAAGGTGACGTGCGTGCAGGTGGCCGTGGTTTATATCACACGGCCCGATGCCCTGGCTACTGCTGATGAGACAGAGAAGGGCCACTGTGCCAAGGGCAGAGGTACAGGTTGGTTTCGCCCAATGAGCTGGCCTGCTGGTGAACATTGATAGGGATGGCAGTGATCAACTAGACAAATTGTATTTTCTCTCTGGAGTTTGAGCCTGAGGCCTATAGAGACAGACAGCAAAACCAGGGCTGGCCAGACAAGCAGGGAAGGCATGACAGACAGGTCAGCTGACAGCGGAGCAGGGCTCAGTGACGAGGGGGTGGGAGTGTGTTGAGCCCTCATTAACCCTTTGGTTTTTACACTGGGTGCTGGTCTCAGGCGCCTGCCCAGCCCAGGCTTCTGCATTTCCATACAAACTCTCAGAAAGAGCCCTCTTTATGAGACACACGCTGTGGGTCTCTCTCATTTACCACCCAGAGGAGTTAATAAGGAATTCTTATGGCTTGGTTTATAGATGAGGGCGTCCAGGCCAGGAGGCCATGGGTTGCTCCCCAGCTTACAGAAAAGCCTGCTTTCAGCCGGCGGGGTTTCAGGCATAGGGTGAGGGTGAGTGTGGGAGTGCGGAGCTTGGGAAAGCAGTGACAGAGGTAGGGAAGGAGGCGAGGAGAGAGGAGATGTTGAGTTCAGTCATTCAGACTTTCTGTCAAATGTTGTTATATTTGCTGCTGTGTCTACCTTGCTTACTCCACTCACCTTTCCTAGGTTTTACCCAGAGGGAAAGTAGTTTAGGAAAGGAGGCCGCATGAGTAGAAATATCCCCTCAAAGGCAAACCCACAAAACTGTCGTATGTTCCAAGGGCAACTCCAGGCTGGTTTTGCGCTCATCTCTAAAACTCCATCCAGACCTTGCTGCCCATACCCCGATACTTAATGGGAAGAGAACTTACAGGGAGCTCTCCTTATCCCACGAGAAATGCCAACAGGAAAGGTCTTATTGTGAGAGGCTTTGGACCTCGGGCCAAACTTTGTACTGGATGGAATAACCCCTCAAATGAGATTTAGAGCTCACACACCTTCTTTCCTCGCAGGCCCATGGATCCAGTCCGGGTTGCCGTGGTGGGGGCAGGTGTGATGGGGCTCTCCACCGCTCTGTGCATTTCCAAATTGGTCCCAGGATGCTCCATCACAGTCATTTCAGACAAGTTCACTCCTGAGACAACGAGTGATGTGGCAGCTGGAATCCTTATTCCCCACGTTTACCCAGGTGAGAGGGATCTTCCTTCCTCTATCCAACATGGTGGATGTCAGGTAGAATGATGATGCATGGAGTGTCATGTGAGCTTTTAACATCTTATTGGTTCATCTGTTAGCAAGAGCTCAGTTATGCTGTAAGATAGGAAGAACCTCCAAACTTTAGCAGTTTAAGAAGCAAGGGTTTACTTCTTGCTCACGGTATATGTTTGTTGAGCATCAGCAAGGGATCAGCAGGGACCTAAGCTGATGGAGCAGCTGCTGCTTGAATGTCATCAGTATCTGGGGGGATGAGGGGGAGAGAGCTCTGGTGGGGAGGGGTCTCACCTCTGCCATTAAAGGCTCTGGCCAAGTGACTTTTATCACTTGTGATGACAGCTCATTGGCCAGCACCACTCACATGCTCTCACCCCTCAGAGGAGGCCAGGAAGTGCAGTTCTGTAAGGCTCCCAGCAGATGGACAGGCAGAAGTATTTGGTGAACAGCATTAATAACTGCCACAATTGGCAACTCTAAGTCTTTCCATTGATTCCAGTAATGACCATCAAGTCAGAAACTACCTGTGTGTAAAGGGACCAATATCCTTATCTCTAAGCCAGAATAGAACAACCAGTCAGTATGTGTTCAGGCTGAAAGATGCATTGGGTTTGAGTTTGTTTTTGCTTGTTAATCCTCACCCGAGGATTTTTTTTTTTTTTTTTTTTAGAGAGAGAGTGGAAGGGAGGAGGAGAGACGCACAGAGAGAAACATCAATGTGAGAGAGACACATAGAGAGAAACATTGACATGAGAGTGACTCATTGATTGGTTGCTTCCACATGTGCTCCGACCAGGCCCAGTGGTGAATATCTTCTATGCTCACGAGTACCAACACCATATGAGGACCATACTGGTCTTATAGGGTCGTGTGAAAATTCAATGGATTAATATATGTAAAGCACTTAGAACAGTGCCTGGGACGCAGCAAGTGCTATGTACTTAGTTGCTATTGTTATTACTGCCACTCGGGCTACCGTTTCTTTTTACCAACACGAGAACATGAATTAGGTCACCAGGCTTGCTCTCCTCGCTGTTGAACTGAGTAGAGCAGTTCTTTTGGGATGATTTCGTGTGGATCTCAGCCACTATTTTGTTTTTCAGGTTTTGGGTGGGAACAGGGAATGCATTTTAATACAGCCCCATACACTGGCCTAGATTGTTGGGGTATAATCCTTAGGGGTCTAATTTAGTTTTCTTTGGAGTTTATTATTTATTTCTTCCTGATCTCTACCCCGGTGGCACAGTCCACAGTCTTGGAATACAGTGTCGAGTAGACAATGGGCACATGCTTAGAGACAGCACATTGTCTCTCCAAACAAGTTTTGAAACCCTGCTACTGAAACGCTCTCATTGACCTGGGGGTTTGTCTGGGGAGCAAGGTGACTCCAGGGGCATGTTCACTCTACTGTGAACCACAGGGACAGCTCTCCAAACAGAGCTGACCAGCATCCTTTGTGCCTCAGTTCCCTCCTCTCCTCTGTGCTGCCCCCACTGCAGCCCCTCAGAATGACTGTTCCCTGGCCTGGCCCTGGTCTCTCCCTTACGAACCTTCCACAGGAACCAGAGGGCCAAATACTTTACCCACAGTTAGATTTATCTGTGCCTGCGTTGGACACTCTTATTTGGGGGCTGCACCCTGACCCTTATTTCCTCCCTGACAGGCCTGCCGTCCTTCTAGAAGCTGTGTCCAGGCCCCATCTCCTGGGCTCTGGCAGGGATGCCTGGGGAATAGGGAGCACTGGTCCACAGGACTCTGACAGAGGCGGTGCTGGTGCGGTCCTGCACGCCCCTGCTGCCCGTGGCATGCTGCTTTAAGCGGGCCTGTGATTCATGGAGTGGAACGGATGGAGGGCATGGCAGCCTGGCTGGGGCTGCAGGGAGCCCTTCCTGAGGAGCTCACCTTCATCATTCAGGGCTTGTTTCCTTGTGGCCGGGGGTGAGCTCTCCAGCTTCCCATTGATGTACATTCCCTTCTCTGTCCTGGCTGATCTGGGCCTCACAGGTCTCCCTTTGTCACCCACCATGTTTTCAGTCCCCAGGAAAGTGGCCCTGGATTCTTTCTCCTCTTTTTTTAACTGTATGGCCAGCTGGATGCCTCACCATGAACTGACTTCCGCTCAGGTTGGTTATAGACCCCTCAAGGACCTCTGCCCAAGACCACCTGCCAGCTGGCTCACCAATCAGACCCCCCCTCATTGGTTGGTTCCCCCTTTGTTGATTGTCATTATACAAACAGATGCTGACAGCATGTGTCAACATTCAGAACTCTGGTTGCTGATAAATCCTCCACAGTGTGGTACTTGATCTGAACGTTCCTCTTCGCCTCTTTATTCTTTTCCCCAGCGACTAGAAGGAGCTCATCTGAAGCATAGTCATTATAATTTCCCTTTCTGTTCCACTTGCTTTTCTCCCTGATTATAGACACACCCATCCACAAGCAAAAGCAGTGGTTCAGAGAGACCTTTGACCACCTATCGGCAATTGCCAATTCTGCAGAAGCTGGGGAGGCTGCCGTTCACCTGGTGTCTGGGTAAGAGAGGAGAGCTGAGGTTACTTAGAATTTAGAATGATCTAAACAGACCTCAGAGTTCAACATATATTATTGTCGGGTGTCTGCTGTGCGCAGAATGCTGACCTGGATGTGGGAGGATTTAGAAGAACAGTTTAGGCTTCACTCCAAAGAACTCGAGAAAGACAAGTTACGGTGTTAGACTTTTTAATAATGAACATCCATTACAGTTTCTCAACAAATACTGCTTTGAGTTTCCTTGGGGGTTATGCAGTGATTTGCAAATATGGCCGCAAAAATGTCAGGTAAGCAGTGAGGTGGGTTATGTGAGGATAATGGGGCTGACGGAAAGCAAACAGGTGTGACACTCGAGTGGGCGCAGAGACCCAAAATATAGGGACATCTTATATACTTAGTGTCCCTGGAGAATGCTACGTTCCAAAAATGTAAATTTTGTGGTCACCAAAGTTACCTTGTGAAGTGCCACTTAGGAAAAAAATATTTCTGAAATGGTTAGCCCACTCCTATTGATTCTTCATATCTGATTTCAGGAGACGCACAATTAAACAAAGGAGTTTAAAAATAAATCCTATGTAACATTTCTAACACAAACCAGCACTTAAAATATTGCAATATCTTCCTATATGGTCTTAAGTAGAGACCACTAACCATTCTATCACTTTTAACTTAATGACATAACCTGTGTGTCATCTGTGTCATCTGTGTTATATGCACAGTCATGCGCCACAGCCTCTGAAAGAGCAGAGGGATGTTTGCTTTTTGCTAAATTCTCAAATCCACTGCACCCTTTGTGCTATTTCTAAAGCAAAACAAACAAACAAACAACCTCCCCCCCAAACAAAAACCAAAAAACCCTGTCCTCGCTCCTCTTCTGACAATGTCTGCTGACATTTTTTTGCTGGTGAACACACCTGCATCAGGCAGATTTCTACCCTTTTCCTTTTCTTACCCTCCCTCACCATCACAAATACCAAAATATATTGACATCACTAATTCCTCAACTTCTCTACCTTCCGAAGATAGATGGTTCTATAACTGTCTCCAAAACCAGCTGATGAGCCACATAGGAAAATGGTTCTCATTAATAGATGACCACCCTTTATTTTTGTCAAAACCAATGTGGTCCCATCTAATTCACAAACTTTGGCTCTACGTAATTTTTAAAAACAGCTGTGTCCATTTAAATGACCTTTCAAGAGTAAGACTTTGCCACCATTGAGGTTATTATAAAGAAGGCACGTTAAGCTATTCCAGAAGAGAGCTCTTCATTTCCCCTCACATGAATGATTTTTATCCCACTTGCTTCCAAAAAGGATTTGGATGAGTCAAGCCAAGACAAGGACACAATGCTCTGTGCATCTTTGGCTTAAGTAAATCACTTTATTAATCTGTTTATTCCTTCAAAACAAGTTTTCAGCATTCATCAGTGTCAGGTACTACCCTAGGTATTAGGGATATATAAATGAGCAATTTAATACATACTGCTTGGCATAGAGTAGGTGCTCAATAAATATATATGAAGTGATTTTTTAAAGAAGGACAGACATGGTCCTGCCCTCATGTAGCTTATGGTATGTGGATAATGTCCTAAGTCTAATGAGACACAAATTACGAAAGCAGTTATCTGGAGAATAAACTTGCTCTGGGATTTTATGAGAAGCCACCAGGAAGAAAGTGATGTTTCAGTGCAGACCATCCAGATGAGGGTAGGTTAGTCCCGTGATGTGTAGAGGTGAGAGGGGCACAGACAGGGTCGAGGACAGAGGAGGCAGCATTCTGGGTAGAGGGAAGGGCACATGCATAGACCTGAGTCTGGGGTGATTATGGTATGTTGGAGGGATTGAAAAATTCCAATGTAATGGGAAGGATTTTACACAGTGAAGTAACTGATCATAGTTACATTTCAAAAATATTCTGTCTGTAGTGTGGAAGACAGATTTGTGGAATGTGAGATGATGATGGGATAGATTAGCTGTTGATAGTGGAGATAGAGAGTAGATGAATTAAGAAATGCTTAAGAGGAGATTTATTATTATTATTTAAATATTTTTATTGATTTCAGAGAGGAAGGAAGAGGGAGAGAGAGATAGAAACATCCATGATGAGAGAGAATCATGGATTGGCTGCCTCCTGTAAGTCCCCCTCTGGGGATCGAGCCCACAACCCGGGCATGTGCCCGTGACTGGAATCCAACCTCGGACCTTTCAGTTCGCAGGCCGATGCTCTATCGACTGAGCCAAAATGGCTAGAGCTATTATTATTATTTTAATTTTCACCTGAGAGAGGGAAGGAGAGAGAGAGAGAGAAAGAAAGAAAAAGAAACACGTATGTGAGAGAGAAACATCCACTGGTTGCCACCTGTAGGCACCCTGACCAAAGATCTAACCCCCAACCTAGGTATGTGCCCTGACTGGCAAGTGAACCCAGTCTTTGGTGTATGGGATGACACCCCAACCAACTGAGTCACCAGGCCAGGGCTTATGAGGAGATTTGATGGGACCTGATAGTTGATGGCATGCAGGGGTTGAGAGAGTAAAGGGCGATTTTTGGGTTTCTGGCATTAGCACCTGTGTGGATGGGATCCCATTTTCTGAGTTGGATAAGATGAGGAAAGGAGTAGGGGAAGTGTGTGTGTGTGTGTTTATTGTATGAGATATGAGGTCGACATTCAGTGGGGAGTAGGAAACATGATGGGTGTGGATCTGATTTTGGAACTCATGAGAGAGAAGTGGGCTAGAGATGTAGCCTGCTGAGTGTTTGGCCTACAGATGATGGTGAAGATATGGAAGAGGGCAATCTAGCCCAGAGAGAGCTTGCAGCATGAGCACACATTACAGAGCCCCGAGGCAAACTACTTGGTTATTAATTACTCACATCATTAGCAACCATGTACAGCACTCAAATGATTTTCCTGGCTATTTTAGAGCAGCCATGATTTACAACATTTATTCCTATTGATGAAAACACTTGTAACTTCAACATATGCCTCACAGCTATTGGTAGAATTATTACAGGCTTCTTGTTGTCAATCAATATCATTCCAGCCTCATCCACCCCAACCATGACTTTGCAGGAACAGGACTTTTCCGGACAACTTCTTTTATCAAGAGCTAAACGAATGACCTACAACTTAAGTCATAATTTGCACCCCAGCCTCCTGGACTCTCACCATTGCTCATTTCAATTTAGATATTTTGTTCAGGAATGAGGCCAACCTTTAAAATTTTGATAGTTTGCTTATAATTTATGTCAAGCATTATGCAAAACAGGAAAAGCTTTCCTCTAATGTGCACAGTCATAAGTAAACAAGAAAATCTATGCAAGAGCTTTTTGGAAAAAAGAGAATTAAATCCAATCTTTAAAAGATACACTACCTGCTAAATGTCTAATTCCCCTCACTCATGAACATTTTAAATTTAGCTGCTAAGGTATCTGAACCCAAGAGAATGGAAGAATAGGTCTTTTGCTCATGTACAGGAAGTGTGATTTTTCATTGCTTTAGAGAATGTCACATGGGCTTCATAAGAGATGTGTTATTTCACAAAATTTCAGGAAATTTATTCTCTAATATGCTTCAGTTGGCAGGTATTTCAGAGCATTCCTACTGAAGAAGTGCCATTCTGGGCTGACGTGGTTCTGGGGTTTCGAAAGATGACCAAGGCTGAGCTGAAGAAATTTCCCCAACATGTGTTTGGTCAGGCTTTTACAACGCTGAAATGCGAAGGTTCTGCCTACCTCCCATGGTTGGAGAAAAGGTCAGTTTACATGGCTCTTTGCTGCTTCCTTCATCGGTCATAGCCATAATTAACTTCTTAGCTATTCATAAAATATATACTGAAAATTCTCTCAGAGCTCCTGCATTGTGTCTCGTTGGTCACAGATGGCTAGGGCTTTGAAAGCAATTTGAAGACAGTGCTTGAGTCACAGGAGTGAGTCACACCATTCTTTTTGATGAGTGACATGCCCATCTTCTACTTGTAGTGTGCATCTTTTTAAAAAAA